TAATAATAATAATAATAATAATAATAATAATAATAATAATAATAATATAGGAAATACTCTAAATGCTCTGATGGTCATTTTGAAAAATCCTTTCCTAGTGAGCCCCTAGAAGGCAAGAGGAACATACGTGCCAAATTTTAAGTTTGTAGGCTTTACGGTTCTGGAGATTTTATGATGATACCTAGTAGTTGTCGCTGCATTTGGTATTTAAATTGCAAATTTTTCTGCCCTGTCCTTTGTCCGTTTTCAGGGTTTTTAAATATTCCCACCGCATGCGATAAAACAGTCCTTCTTTTTCATGACATTTCAGGCACTGTGTGACCGCAGGGTTTGTGTCTCTTTTGATACTACTGATGGGGTTGTGCAACATCCATAAAACTCTTTGTAACCGGTTTCCTTTGTGATACAGTAGCCCTCCACTTCCAACCATTTGGATTTAGGACCTAGCTGAAAAGGGGGACTTTTAACCGAAGTTCTAAGGGTTGCTGGCCCCCGTTATGGTCATGTGGCTGCACTTTGGGTGCTCAGCAACGGGACATCACATGGCTGCATTTTACGATGGTTTTGCCCAAAACCGGTTCTTCTGTGTACAGCAAAACCACACCACAGCAAACAACGGGTTTGTTTAACCACAAACCTTTGCTTAACAGCTGGAGCGTTTCCACTTATGACAAGGACACATTCGCTGAAAAAAAAAACACAGTAAAATCGGTCTTGCAAACGTTATACAGTGAGTCCTCCACTTACAACTGTTCATTTAGTGACAAGTTACAACAATTTAACAGGAGATGGCAAACATACTGCATGAAGAAAGATTATTGAAGCTTATAAGTACGATGTGCAGGTTAAGGTCAGAAGTTGGAAGGCTAGGATTATGTATACCTAATTGTGTTATTATTGCTAGCATTTGTGTAAAAAAATATATTGAACAAGTCAATACACTGTTTGCAAAATATATATGGACCAGAGGTGGGTATTCAGCCAGTTCTGTCTGGTTCTGCAGAACCGGTAGTGGAAATTTTGAGTAGTTCGGAGAACCGGCCAATCCCACCTCTGACCGGCCCCACCAACCCCGTCTCTTCTCTGCCTCCCATCGAGTCCCAGCTGATGGGTGGGTCTTCTTTGGTTGCCCTGCCCAGGAGAACAGAGCTGGAAAGCAGGTTAGTGGGGTGGGGAGGGAAGGGAAGGGGGATTTTGCAGTATCCTTCCCCTGCCACACCCACCAAGCCACACCCACCAAGCCACACCCACAGAACCGGTAGTAAAAAAGTTTGAATCCCACCACTGGTATGGATGTTAAAGGAAAATTACAAATAAAACATATATATTTTTTAAAAAGTTACAATGGCACTGAAAAAAGGGACTTAGGACTGTTTTTCACAGTCACGACCTCTGCAGCATCCCCATGATCCTGTGATCAGAATCCAGATGCTTGGCAACTGATTCATACTTATGACCATTCCTGTTTCCCAAGATCACATGATCCCCTTTTGCGACCTTCTGACAAGATAAATAATTGGGGAAGCCAGATTCACTTAACACCTAAGTTACTAACTTAACAAGAGCAGTGATTCACTGAGCAAATGTGGCGAGAAAAGTCATAAAATGGGACAACACTCACTTAACAAATGTTCCACTGAGTAAAATAAATTCTGGGCTCAATTGTGGTTGTAAGTTTATTTATTTATTCATTTATTTATTTGATTTGTCAATTGCTTACAAGATAATAGGTATAAGTATAAAGATGGTTATATGAATATATATATGAATACATGAAATGGATACGAATAAGAAATCAAAGAAACAATACAACAGGGACGGTAGGCATGTTGGGGCGCTTATGCACGCCCCCTGCAGACCTCTTAAGAAAGGGGTGAGGTCAATAGTAGACAGTCTAAGGTTAAAGTTTTTGGGGTTTGGGGAAGAAACTACAGAGTCAAGGTCGAGTATTCCAGACATTGACCACTCCGTTGCTGAAGTCGTATTTCCTGCAGTCAAGTTTGGTGCGGTTTACCTTGAGTTTGTATCTATTGTGTGCTCTTGTATTGTTATGATTGAAGCTCAAGTATTCACTGAGAGGTAGGACATTGCAATGTATGATTGAGGACTACCTGTAACTTATGACCATAATGGGCAGGCTCCATTACGCCATAACTGGAAGACTACCTGTAACCGGCTATGATTTTGGTAGATTTAATCCATCGTTCTTCCCACTGTATAGTTAATTCTTTCTTTGACATTTTGCATCCATTGGTCTGGATGACACCGTTGTGATGTTTTTGACTCACCTGATGCAGGAACAATGAGGTCATGGTCCTCAGAGTCCAAACACACCCCAAAAGTCTGCAAAGGCTAAATCCAGGCTCTGGGAGATGCCTCATAGTACGGTGGTGCGGCCTCATAGTATGGCCTTGTAGTACGGTGGTTCTTCCGTCAGAATCATCTTGGCCTCCACCCAACCAATCCTTCCCCTGCAAACAGCTCCTCAGACCGGACGTCCAGCTGTCCTCTTGGGAATTTCCATGCTGCGCTCTTGGCTGAAGCACAAAACCCCTTTTTCCTGGATGAAACCGCTCCTTTCGATACCCAGTTTAGCCTATTGTCATCACACTTCCTGCTAGACTCCTCTCTGAGGACTTAACCAGGACTTGGCCTTGTTTAGTTCTGAGCGGGAGCGACACACACACAAAAAAAGCGGATTTGGGTGTGTTGTCTCTTGCGTGCTTGCTCGCTTGGGAATGTTTGTGTTGGTTTAAGTCACAGAGAAACCATTTCAAAGACTTCGAGGCCTGTGGACTTCAACTCCCAGAATTCCCCAGCCAGCCACAAATCTGAGATTGAGAAACACCAGTTTAAGTTCAAACCATACCAAGGAAGAGTGTGGGAATTGGGCTTCAAACACCAAAGGACCATCTGGAGAAGGAGCCACAGAACCAGATGATTAAATGATCCATGTGAAAAAAAAATCTTCTTTGCCTTCTTTGATAAAAATGAGGAAACCTGGGAGCGGAAAAAGGCCTTATCTTACAACTTCAATTGAGACCGGAACTCCCGTTACTAAGCAATGCAGTAATTAATCAACTCATGCTCTGTTTTACAACATTTGGTCACGGCTCTTTAAACAAATCCAGCTTTCTCCATTGACCCAAAGGTGACAATTGGCAACTGGACATTCTTGCTTTTTTTTTCTTTGAAGACATTTCACTTCTCATCCAAGAAGCTTCTTCAGCTCTGATTGCATGGTGGGAAATGGAAGGATTGATATTCCTTGCAGATAGCTGGTCATCTGCATCCTTTTTAAAGAGTCGTTGAGGCCACTTGGAGGTTCATCTGTGTTTTAATCATGTGACCAGGGGATGCTGCAGTGGTCATAAGCGTGAAAAACGGTCGTAAGTCACTTTTTCAATGCCATTGTAACCTTGAATGGTTACTCAATGAATGGCTGTAGGTTGAGGATTACCTGCATTCAACAACGGCTGAAATCAAGTGTGAACGAATACCACCTGATTTCGTTAAGTCCCAAAGATAGATTTTGAAAGGCAGTTTGATCTCTGCTTGCCTTCCATTGAGCCGGGAGCTCCCCAGCTCCTGTCAACTTATCTGAGCATGCTCCAACCACAGCAGGTATTGTTAGGCTCCGCCCTTACCCTAAAGGCTCCACCCCTGTTATGACAGTCCCTGCTGTTTGCACCTCTTCAAACCTGTGTGGTAAAAGAAAATGGACATTTGAGCATTCCGGCTCTTCCCAACCCCACATATTTAGATTCCAGGCAAATTTCCAGCCATGGCTGAAATGCTGGCTGGAGACGCTTATTTTTCCTTGCTCAAAAATGTAGGAAGGAAGGAAGGTCTTTGAAATAAAGGCTTAGAGCAGGGGTCTCCAACCTTGGCCACTTTAAGCCTGGCGGACTTCAACTCCCAGAATCCCCCAGCCAGCTTGGGAGTTGAAGTCCGCCAGGCTTAAAGTGGCCAAAGTTGGAGAGCCCTGACTTAGACAGCCATGTTTTCCCAGATCCTGATGAACTGCAACTCCCAGCATTCCCACTCTTCTACAATGCTTTTTGGGGCTGCTGGGGATGGTAGTCCAGTAAGCTCTAGAGCCACAAAGATTGCCCAGCTGGGAAAATGGCCCAGGTATACGCTTTGGCGTGGCTTTATACTTGGGTGCCTCCTAAACATCCCTTTTAAAAACGCCTCCCTTGTTCGGGCAAAAGCAACAGGCCATAAAACAAGCGCAACTGTCATTAGTTCCAGGATAGACGAAAGGAAAGCAGGAAGCAACGGGGAGCGAAGTGGGAGGAAGGAAGGTTTCCCGCGGCTTGGGCCAAGCAGCTCGGCGCAATTCCCCGCGGGAAAGAGAACCCGAGCCGCACCTCGCCGGTCCGAGGTCTGGCCGAGAGCCAAGCGACGGCGCCCGCAGCGGCCTCGGAAGCTGCGCGGAGCAGACGCGCCGCTTGGGAGCCGGGCTGTCGCTGCGTCCGGGCGGAGCCGCCAGCCGCCCTCCGGCGTGGCCCGCGCCCCTGCCCCGCCGGCCCGGAGGAGCCCCTCGTCCCCGGCTTGGCAACCCAAAGAGCCTCGGCTTCGCGCACCGGCCTCTCTGTCACTCCCTCAGCCGCGGCTCCCCTCGTCTCCTCAGGCGCCATGGGGCGGCTAACCTTGACCGAAGAGCCCCCAGAATGAGGGGCCGCGGGGGGCTCCCCTGGCGTTGGTCAACTCGGAAGGCCAAAAGCGGGAGGGGAAGAGAAAGGGGGGCTGCTTCTGCCAGCCCCTCACTCCCCGGGCGCGCGTGCGAGATCCCTTCCCGCTCACTCCCCGCCCGTGGAGGATCCCGCTCCCAGCGAGGCTCCCTCAAAACGCGCGGGAGACTCCGCCTCAGCCGGGCGACCGAGGGTTTTTTCCCCCCCCCTCTCTCGCCCCCTTCAGCAGCCACTTGTCGCAGCGGCGGTCACGGGACCCCGTTCCTGAATCTCGCAGCCGTTCCCGCCGGCGACCCCCCCGCCGCCCCTTCCCCGCATCGCCGAGCGCGACAGGGCGGCAGCCGGAGCCCCGCCAGCCGAGGTGTCGCCGCGGAAGGCGCCGCTTCTCGGCGGACACGTGCGGCCATCGCCGCTGCCTCACCGTTTCCGAAGCCGGGAGCCCGGCGCGCCGGGAGGGAGCCGCTCCTGCTCGCCAGCCCCAGGGCCGCGCCGGGCGCCAGAGGGCCGAGGCGGCCTCCGGCGGACTCGGGAGGCGGGCCGGGTGGCGCGGGGGAGGCTCCGGCGCGGCGCTGAGGGCGGCCGGGGGCGGAGCGCAGCCGGGCAGCCAGGAGGCGTGGGGACCGGCTCGGCCGCCGCAGCTCAGCTCAGCCAGTAGCGGCGGAGCAGCCCAGCGGCAGCCCCAGCAGCGGCCCAGACCCGGCTCGGCTCGGCCCGCCCGCCCGCGCAGCTAAGCCGGCCCGGGACGATGGCGTTGCGGCGGCAGGAGCAGGCGCTGTCAGAGGAGCAGGGGGCCCTGGAGGCGGAGGAGCCGGCCGAGGAGGAGGAGGAGGAGGAGGGCGGCGGCGGCGGCGGCGGCGGCCGGGCAGCGTCGGGGCCCCGCGAGAGGCGGCCGGGGCCGGGGGCGGTGTCCGACTTCACGCCCCCCGACGGCGGCTTCGGCTGGGTGGTGGTGCTGGCGGCCACCTGGTGCCACGGCTCCATCTTCGGCATCCACAACAACTTCGGGATTCTCTACGTCCTGCTGCTGCGTGAGGTCGGCGACGCCGAGCAGGACCAAACGCTGGAGTTCCGCACAGGTGAGGCGCTTTCCGCTGCCCCGTCGGGCTGGGACCCTCCGGCCTCTCCTTGCCCGCCCGGCCGGGGATCCCCACCCTCCTTGGAAACCCCGGGACCCCGCAGCCCGGGGGAGCCTGCTGCCTCGAAGCCGCGCTTCGCCCGCCCCTTCGCCGCCCCGGGACAGCAAGCGCCCCGCTAGGAGGAGGCCCGGGGCGGCTCTGCCGGCCGTGCGCCCCCTCGGGCCGCGCAGCCCCTTCCCGGCGCCTTCGGACGGGCAGCGTCGAGGCGCGGCGTGGCTGCTTTCCTGCCCGGTTGCCGCCTCGTGGATCGCGCTCGATCCCGGCCGGGTGGAAAGGCGGCCCCGCCGGAGTTCAACCCGAGCAGCGTCTCCTGGTCCTGAAAGGACTTCGCGTCTCTCTCCCGGGCCAGGCGAGACAAGGCGACAGTGGGACGAATTCTGCAAGGCGGCCCCCCAGGAAAAGCCGCCTTGCTCCGTCCCAGCTTCGCCGGTGCCCAACCCGACCCATCGCGGTTGCTTTGAGCCTGCCGAGGTTCATCCTTTCCACACATTGCGTGGGCTACAGCCTCAGTCCAGAGGGTGGGGGAGATCCCGTGGGATTGACCAGGAGGGACTGTCAAGAAACAATAATCCCCCCCACCCCCCACCCCGAGTCTCTGTCTCCAATCTGGTCCCTGCTAAATTCCTTCCACCTTTGCAACCCCCATCATCCTGTGAGCTGGTCTTGACTTGGGGAGGTGCCGGCAGGTGGTTCTGGCTGCCTCCAAAATTCCCTCTTGGCTTCTCACAGTGCCCCAAACTATGCTGAATAGTTTTGGTCAAGCATTTTGAAACAGACTGGTCCAGGATATATATATATATCTGGCTTATTGGCTGAAGCCCACTGTAGTGTGGATGGAGAACCTGTCTTAAAAAATAGGTAACATCAAAAAAAAAAAAACCCAACAACTCCTTTAATTGTTCTCTAGATTGTAGAAAATGGTCCACTGGAAACCAGTTTCTAATCCAAGCAGTGAATTATGAGAAGTCCTTGGTGCTCTCAAGCTTGGTTGTTTTCTTGCAAATGTTTCATTACCCAAACTAGATAACATCGGTGCTAGTTGACTAACACTGATGATGTTACTTAGTTTGAGTAATCTGGGAAAAAAACAATCAAGTTTAGAGAGCACCAAGGACTCCTCATTTCAAACGTGAGCTATAAATATTCTCCTTTATTGGTGAATTATGAATTAGAAGCCAACCATGCTGGGCCTTGAGGCTTAAATTTGTTTATATATTTATTTGATTTATATTGCCATCTGTTCGCCCATGGCGACTCAAATTGCTCTGGTTTCTTGTGATTTTAGTCCATGGACCGAATCGGGAATTTGTTGGTTAGCTGATATGTCAGAAATAGCATCAGCAACAGAGTAGTTGCCTTTGTGACACAACTTCTTGTGAAAACATCAAAATAATTTGCTTGTTTGAGCAAAGCCAGTTCAGACTAACAGGTGAAAGCAAATTCTGCATCTGGGCCTTGATATTGTCTTAAAATGCCTCTAAAAACAGGCATTCTGCATTCCTGGTATGCAACAACAATGAAATCATATGCAACCTTGATTTGAAAGAAAATGCTATTGAGAGTCATGCCATATGTACATTGTTATAGAATGGCCGGAATCAGCGTACAATTTGAGCTACAGGGGCAGGGAGGGGGATAAGGCTTGTAGCTACTATTGTTATACTAAACACATCCACCCAAAAGCATAGCATTGATACAACATTTCTAGCAAATATAACAAAACTACAACAAGTGTGGCGGTTCCAAGATATATATTTTTTTAATTGAGTTCTGAGGATACTACAGTAAATAGTTGTGTTTTACCTTCAAGGTTGCATCCTGATATGTTTTGCCTTGTGGTGCGGTGGAACAGATTGTCTGAAACTTCGAGTTTTTGAGCCATTTGGAGCTAATGGGAATTGTAGTCTAGCTGTGTGGAGTCAAAGCTGGGAGCTGGAGAAGCCCAAAGTATTTTAGTTCCTGCTCCTCTTTTAAAGGGAAATTACACGCATGCAAGTAAAGACTTTGAACGAAACCAGTATTTTGAAAGCTATCCAATAGGACCGGCGGAGATAGATTTGGAGTGACTTGTTGTTGGATCTCTTCCTATAAAATCGCTGGAAGACAATTTCATTGTCTTGTTGTAGGACCACCAGACACTTCTTGCTTAGGCCATAAATTAGGCAGGCAGCTTTATTGTTTATATGAAAGACATTTCATTGCATGATATTTTCTTCCCTGAACAGGGGAATCCCCCCTACACATATTGATTGAGTGTCCTATAAACATTTGAAGTCAAGGGAATTCCCTCTGCCAGACTTTAAATGTTCAAGTAAAACCCCAAAATATTTTCTTCCGCTTGGAAGCTATTTCTTCCTTTCCAGTAG